CGGTTCTCTGTGGTCCGGTTCTCAGTTCTCGTCCAGGACCCTCTGAACCGGACCAAACCGGACCACGGCAGCACTAAGATTCTTTAATGTATCTTGCAGTGGCGACACGTCCCGACATCGCGTATGCGATACAAAGGCTAAGCTCTTTTGCTGCAAATCCTGGACTAACACATTGGTCAGCGGCAAAACGGGTATTAAGATATCTAGCTGGGACGAAAAACCTTGGAATTAAGTATCGAGGAAACAATTCCACAAACGCCAAAGTCAAATTTGAGGGATGGACAGATGCAGACTATGCTAATGACGTTCGCAATAGAGTCTCAATATCAGGATATGTCTTCAAACTTAGTGAAGGAGCCATTACTTGGAGCTCCAAGAAACAAAACACCGTTTCGCTATCCTCAACGGAGGCAGAATATGCAGCGATGGCGTATGGAGCAAAGGAAGCAGTGTGGCTCCGATATTTGTTCGAAGATTTGAAATTGGCCCAAGAAGGACCAACAATCCTATATGGAGACAATATGGCAGCGTTAGCAATAGCACGAGACCCTCAATATCACGCGAAATCAAAACACTTTGATGTAAAGAATCATTACATCAGAAGTAAGATTCGCGAGAAAATAATACAAGAAGTATACTGTCCTACAGAAAGGATGATAGCAGATGTACTCACTAAACCGCTAGCTAAACCGTCGCATCAGAGACTCTCCAACATGATGGGCATGTCTCCAGATTGAGGGGGAGTGTTGTGACATCAGTATAGACGTTGCAATCAGCCGACATGGCTCGTGCACTGCTTAGCGGAGTTACGAGAGCATCTGAGTGGCGGAGTAAATAGTTAGTATAATAGAATATCGGAATCGGCCGAATATATTCTGAGCGCCACGAACTCCTATTATCGTCGCTGTTCCTACTAAGCCCGGAACCTGAATCATAAGACACTTCCCCCTGGCAGATTCTATATCCAATAGCTCCCAAGTATAAGCAGATCCCATTCGCATCATTGCCTGTTTCATACTGTCGCAACGCTATAAAGTACTGGACGTCCTGATTGTTCATGAGCAAGGTCCACGTCGGCAACGCCGACCCCTAGTTACCAAGGGAGACTCATTCAACAGTAAGCGGCACCGTATGCGAAAACATCGGCGAGTGGGATATCACTTCAGATACTGGAGTCAGCGGGAGCTTCGTTATCGCACAAACTCATAAATTCAGGAGAACTAGGCCAAGCTCGATTGAGATTCGACACGAGTGATCAAGGAAGTATGAGATACCAACAGTGATGATGATAGAGATAGAATTGAGTAAATGACGACGAACTCGGATTGATACTGCAATGTACCGGCTATGCAGCGTGGTCATTTGACACAACTAGGCGGTGATCGATTAATCATGCTGGCGAAGTTGTGCTGGAGAATGCGATGACTAGCGATAACATGTGACGGCTATGGAACGTGAAGCGAGACTCAGAAACGAACAAGAACAAGACAAGAGCAACGAACGAGATGACAAGATTTGAGACAAAAGAGCAACGAACGAGACGATGAGATTTGAGACGGCGAGATGCGAGAACACAATGGACGATGATTTAAAACGCGCCGAAATACCCTCCGGCAGCCTGAACAAGAACAGATTGCAAGTAGGGGAGACGATTCTCAACTCTGGCACACAAGTAGGTGTTGCATACTGCTGGGCTCCTGACGAAAACGTTTATGAGGGTGATCTTGTCAGCTAGTAAAATCCCCTTCTCATCCTGCATGAGGGCCAAGGCCTGTGACCTTTCATCCGCCACCCGAGTTTCTTCAACTGATGCCTGAAGCTTGTCCGCCAGGCGGTTAATGGAACTTTGCAGGCCCATGAAGGCAGCGCTGCTTTGCTCCTCCTCAGTCAATGTCATAGTTAAGAGTTGGTACTGAGTACAGATGATCACGGCAGTTACAGCTAAGAGGATCTGCCTTCGCTGATTCGTAGTCAGACTAGTCATTCTGAGAGATTATTGAAACTCCGTCACAACGGCTTCTGTGCCCAGCACTCCAACACACATAGTTGTTCCACTTTCAACGTGAGGTTCTAAATCTGTGCTTACCTTGACACCACTTTTTGGTTGGAGATTACACTGACCCTTTCTTACTCAGTCTACTCCGTAGAGTCAGGGAGTAGAAAATCCAAGTTATGTTTTACCAACTTGCATGACATCTGAATTGAGCAATCCATCTCGCCCGAAAGTAATACGCGAACCATCAGAGTCGTATGATATGCAGTCAGTTTCCAGCAAGAGATTCTCAATAAACTTCACGCTGTGCGAGTGTGGAATTCATAAATATCAATCATTTCGCTCTTTCATACTATCAGTAATGTACATCCTCCTTCCCATAGACATATAGGTGCATATAAGTTTTGCATACATAAAGATATTAGCAAGGGTTTCAAGCAGGCGCATCCACAGTTCAGCGTTCAACGCTGACCGTCTACAAGAATATGTCAGACAAGACCAACAAGTAACATGTCTAAACAGGTACTCACAAGCCTTGCTCTCGTACTTGCCAACACCGACGATGATGTTTTGAGGCTCCTGGGCCTTGCCAGAGAGGTAGTTCTCAATGATGCTCTTGGTGCCGCTTGCATAACGAGCCTGAGCATCGAGGGTGGTGCCAGAGTAATGGGGTACCATGCCGTTACCGCCGCCAAGGGTGTTCTTAGCCGTGCGCAAGACGTGGTCTTTGGGTGCGGGCTGGACGTTCCAAACATCACCGGCGTAACCTGTTGCCATGTGAGCTCAATGTGCAGATATTAGGTGGCGAGGGTCACGAACCGTTCAGGTGACCACTTGCAAGGGCAGCAGCTACGGCGTCCTTGTCACAGATAGCACCACGAGCGGTGTTAACGAGCCATGCACCCTTCTTGAAGTGTTTGAGAAGCTCAGCGTTGACGAGGCCGAGTGTACCCTCATGCAGAGGGCAGTTGACAGTGACGATGTCGCACTGCGAGACGAAGTCCTTGAGGTCCTCGACGCGACGAGCGTTGACGGCCTTAGCAGCAGCTGTAATACGTGAGTCAAGCTGTATAAAACCGTAAATAGTGTGGTACAAACCTTCAGGCAGGGGAGCGTAGTCGTAGTAGAGGAGCTCCTTGCAGTCGAAAGGCACCAGACGCTGCAGGACACGGTAGCCGATACGACCAGCACCAATGGTGCCAACGACCTTGCCCTCGAGATCGAAGGCATTGCGAGCAATGTCAGAGACCATCCAGTCTCCACGCTCGATCATCTAAGGATGGCAAACAATTAACAGAGGGAAGCGCGTGCTAGCGGGTCATCATACCTCGTGTGCTGGAACAAAGTTCCTGACGAGGAGGAGGATAGACATCATAACGTGCTCAGCGACGGAGACGACATTGGATCCTGAGACCTCCAAGACCTGAATACCATGTTTGACAGCGGAGTTGAGGTCGATGTGGTCAGAGCCAACACCAGCGGTGACACAGAGCTTAAGGTTCTTGGCCTATCAGGAGTATGAATGTACCGTTCATATCGATAGCTCAACGATCATACCTTTGCGATCAAGTCACCAGTGAGGTACCCGGGGTGGAATGGAGTGGTGATCAAGATCTCAGCCTAAAAAGGAAAGTAAGCACACGCGGATATATATACAGTAGTCACGGTGGGGGCTTGGCTTAGACGTACATCAACGATGTGCTTCTGGAAGTCGCTGTCAGGGCCCTCTTTTGATTCCGAAACCTACACGAATGAGTAGAATTAGGCGACTGCGTAAGCATGCCAAGAGAAACCTTAACACGTACAATGTACTCGTGGCCTTGAGACTCAAGCCACTTGCGGATACCGAGCTATACGGAAAGCTTGAGTAAGTCTGTTTGAGATAATCCAGATTCTCAATGAGACGAACCTGGTTCTCCACAGTACCAAGGAGACGGGGCTCGCTCGTAGCAGCATTACCGCCCTTGTAGAGGATAGCTAAGATCTAGAAGCGCAAGCGCGTCAGATCTTGTGATTGATGACAGCGAATTCATCACTACCTTCATGATTGAGTTTCTGAGGACTGAAGGAAGATGTGTAGTTAGGAAAGTGGGTGGAGAATGAGTCCTTAAGTCGACCAAAGTCCAGGATCTTTATAGGGGGAATGCGGGGTGTAAGCGGTCCTACTGCAATAGGAAAATATGCATCAGCTGACACTGTGTGGGCCTACCATTCTCTGTGCACATCGTGGCTCTTCCGGTTTTGGCCTGATCCGTCCATTTGGCAGATGGCGCCCTGACGGGGATCACGTGTGCCCACCCGGTCACGCCCATTGGCCAAAAATAACACCCTGATCAGCGTCCATTATATCGCGTCCCGGAAGAAGGCGCTCGCATGGTACCAGTTGGAGAATTGATGCGGACGGGATCGGAAGAAACCATTGTTCACTCACCACGGCGGACGTCTGTGTTCAACAACAATATTTAGTAGACTTGGGAGATGCGGACAGATCCTGGGATGTTAGCAGTCAGCCCATCTCACGTTCAAATGAAACACTCCTTGCCTGACACACACACTCGGGTGGACCTTGTTCAGAGATCATATCAGCTTTACACGAGCGTCGGAGCACCCCGGTGAGTTCCCCAGCATGGGAACTCTAATTTCTTTGTCATTTTTCATATGTGACATGAGAAAGGGAGAACGAGTTAGAGAAAAGTACAAGCAGACACCAGTCTACTCCAGTAGCATCATAATCAGACTTTGTCGTCGAGCAACGCTTGTTAGGTTAAATTCGATGTTTTGATGGAAACGTCTACTTGGTTCGATCGGACGTGGTTTTGGGGTTGTAACCAGCGAATGACGAGCTGGACCCGGTTGCCGAGCGGGACCTAATGTATGAATATGTACTGATAATTGCTGAGTGCTATACTGTGAGCTGTTCCGTTAGTGTATTGCTATGCACCCTGTCTAGTGAACCCGATTACTTACAATGTACATTGTTATCCAGCTGGGCGTTTTGATGCGAACAATCTATAGGATCAGAACGGTTTGATGGCATTGCCGAGCGGGGCATAATGTATTGTAATATCTATTTATAATTGCTGGATGCTATACTATGAGCTGTTCCGTAAGTATATTGTTATGGACCCTGCCTAGTGAACCCGATTACTCACTACAATGCAAATTTTTATCCTGAGTGTTCTGATGCAAGTACATAATCATCATCCATAGGATCAGAACGGTTTGATGGCATCAACTCCACTTCCTCTGATGCAGTTCTGATTGACATGATCTGAGATTTGTGTTGTGCATTCTTTGCAACCTCCCATTCCACCCGAAGGAAGACCCACATCCATCGTCGAAAGACTTCCGCAACCTCAAGCCAGAGCATAAGAACGCTTCCTTCCGACTGCGAATGCAGATGACTCGATAGTTTGATTGACCATGTCATACGGAGCACGAGGTTGAAGAACATAACCAGGGGGTATACCAGAAGCGGGTAGAGGAGCACTGGTCGAAGTCCATAAGGGTATGACTGGTGACGTTGAATTGCGCCACCAAGAACATGGTGGCCAGAAGATTGTGTGACAGTATGTGCGTCGGAAGACCCAGCAATGGAAGAAGTTTTTGAATGGAGAGATGGGAGCACAAGGGGTCTTCGCGACTCCGCAGATCGCGGTTTCAAAAGGTTAAGACCCCAATCATTGGTTAAATCCCACCAGAAGGAATATAGAGAGTTCACGGCCGCGGCTAGAAGCCTAAATTGACGTAGCAGATCACTTGGCGACGATAAATTTATGAACCTTGCTTACCATAGGCGAAATAATGGATGTTCCCCATGCCATGGCTCTCGCGTGACCAATTCACCCTTCACCTCTGCGAGCTCCAGTACCACAATTCTTTGAGCGGCAGAAAGGAATATCACCGGAAACGAGGATGCGTATTTGAGCGCATTGAAGAGTGGTCGCTTGCTGGTGTTGGTAGGAGACTGGTACTCGATCAAGCACTGGCGGAAGCGAATAATATACGGTAGACTGACTTCTGTGAGTACAGACTTTCACACACGGGGGAGTAGTGCGTACCTCATGAACGTTGGAAGTATCCACTGAGAGAGGCCATCGAGGTGTGGGGGAGACACAAGACTTCCACCTGGAAGCAACATGCAAAGAGAAAGCCAAACGTCACCAAGGACTTTTGCAAATGAGGTGAACACGTCTGCAAAGACTACATCCGAAAAATACACTGGACTATCTGTTGAAGAGAAGAGACACCTTGCAGCGCTCCTGTTAAAGATTATTACAGTGCTATCATGAAAAGACGTAAAAAAAAACACTCTTACTGAAGGAACATATCTCTCTCGCGCTTTTGGCACAACTCAAATGGGCATATGAGAGTTGTTAGCACACCCAAAGAGCTCAGGGAAGGAATATATTTGAAGGTATCCACCAACATAGTGTTCGAGTGAGTGGCGAGTCTGAAGAAGGACCATCCAGCAAAACACCAAGTTGCATATCCTGCGAATAGACGGTATACGGGCATATAAGACAGTCGTAGAGACAAAGATACTCGTGAAGACGAGGAGTTGGTGGGCAAGAAGGTACGACCAGAGGACAACTCTAGTGCTGACCCTGCATCAATCCCAAGTAGGTGCAATCCATGGAGGTTGGTCGCCCATCCTAGTATGCCCAAGCCGATCAATAATAGTACGCGAAACGGGAGGGGAAAAGAGGTAGAGAGCGGAACTGCATCACCCGGATCCATTCTATAGATTAGAGTCGCAAAGCATGGAAAGAACAGACGATACTGCTGATACTGCTGCGGGGGTCAGTGCAAAAGGCAAATATTCCGAATCCGTTCAACAGTAACCACTGTGCCACGTGACATCGACCCCTTCCACTCCAACCACCATGGCTGAGAAGGCTGGCGCATATGGCACCAAGGCCGCCGACACTGATTTCAGGAAGAAATGGGATAAGGAAGAATACGCTGAACGGGCGCGGAAAAAGGACGAGGAAGAACGGACCAGAATGCAAGAAAATGAGGAGCGCATGAAACAAGGTACGCAATATTCACAGTTGGCTTTTTAGGCCGGGTACTACTTCGTTATACAGGCAGGAAACCGCGCAAGGCCCCAAAGGAGGACCTTCCGAAGCCGACAGAGCTCATGAAACGTCGAGAAGCCTCTCTCGAACTGGACAAGAATCTCGGAAAAACCATGGTTGTGCAGAATCCCGGCGCACGAGGGCCGGGGCAGCCTGGTTTCTTCTGTGAAACTTGCAATCGAAACTACAGGGACAGCACAGGTTATTTGGATCACATAAATAGCAAAGCACGTATGTCAACACAACGATCGCCAATTGTGTGTATCTCTAAACATAACCATAGATCTCAGGAAACTTGGTCAGACGACCCGCGTGGAACGCTCTACCCTCGCACAGGTTCGCGCTCGAATAGCATATCTACGGGAAAAAACCAAAGAGGCATCATCCGCCAAGGCTTTTGATTTTGATCAGCGGCTTGCAGAGGTCAAGGCGAAAGAAGATACTCGGCGAGCCGAGAAGAAGGCTCAGAAACAGGCTCAAAAGGAGGAAGCTCGTCTTGCACTTGTCAAAGATACTGTCATGGATGGTGATGATGAGATGTCGAAGCTCATGGGCTTCGGCGGCTTCGGATCCACCAAGAAATAATCATCTGTTGATACCCACACAACTTCAAATTGTATCTGTAGCCACAACTCACTGTATCATCACACCTGTCATCACTTCATCAAAACTCGCGTCTTCGCATGCGCCAACCTAATTGCTCAGCAGGTAATGTACAAATTCCGCCACATGATTCTTGTCTACTTCTAGCCTTCTGAAATTATTATGCCCGAACCAGTGACAGCACGAACTTGACGTCTGCTACCTCCTGTTCCTCTTCAATCACGAGTTCCCCACCGTTTCTAGTCTTCACGTCAGCAGGCACGCTACGGATGGTCTTCTGAATGGCTTCCGCGTGCTCCTTGAGGGCGTCTTGCAACTCTGCCCCCGAGCCCTCTTCGAAGCAGTAGTACACGTTCAGATCATCAGTGGCTTGCAGTCCAGCCTTTTTCCGAAGCTTCTGTACCCGGTTGATGACCTCTCTCGCAAGCCATTCGCTCATCAGCTCCGGGTGGACTTGGATATCCAGTCTGACCACGACATCATTATCGGTATGGGTTGCATACTGGCCTTCAGAAGCGGGTGGTAACTCGAGGTAACGTTGCACGGTCAGGTCACCAGCGACTAACTCGATGCCATCAACTGTGAGCTTCCCTGAGTCAACGTATGCCTTGACATCGGTGGTGGAAACATTGGGAAGCGCGTTCTTGACGCGTCCGAGATCCTTGCGCAGTTTACGGCCTAGCGTACCCCAATCTGCGACAGCTCGGTAGCCAATGCCACATGCGGCCTCGTCGGTGGTGAATACCACGTCGCGTACGTTAAGCTCTGACTGAATGTAACGTTGCAAAGACTGTACATCGGCAATGTACTGCTCCTCGGGATGGAAGATAAGGAGTTCTCTCAGAGGCGTCTGTGTATCGTAGATTGGTTAAAGTAATTCTTATGACGGCGAATAAAGCTTACCTTCAAGGACAAGTTATGCTTCTCCCGGATATACCGAGTAAGATCAATTACAGCTTGCATGCGCTTCACCTGGCGCTCGATCACCTCATCAAAGTACTCTTCCTTGACATCGGGGAACATGAGGAAGTGAACTGATCGCGCATCGGGAACGGAAGGATCCTCCGGGATATATTCACGCAGAGTCTGATATAGGTTCTCCGTCATGAAAGGCGTGTACGAAGACTAGCAGAGCATCAGCATGGTCAGTCATGGGATTTTCATGTGGAACACGCACCATAGTCCTGCAAAGCGTGAATAGTGTCTCGAAAAGCGTGTTGAGGGCGGCAATCGTGTCCTCTTTACCATCCTCGCCCTTCAATCTTCGCCGATTGAACCGGATATACCAGTTCGTTAGCTCGTCGATAAGATCGAGGAGTCGCGGCAAGATGGTGTAGAGCCTGTAGGCTTTCATCTCATCCTTCACAAGTTTGATAAGAGATTGACACCGAGCAAGGATCCATCGATCCATGACGTTGTTGGAGACAGGAGCATGTGGGTTGTACATGAACCGCACGCCAGTGGTTTTGTTAAGAAGCGTCACTTGGCCAATGAAGAATCGGACGGAATTCAACCAGGGAAGAAGAACGCGAGAGATAACATCCCGAACACCTTCCTCACGGAAGCGCAAGTTTTCACCCCGCACAATGGGAGAGTTGACCAGAAACATCCTGGGACGAAGTAGGCTTTGAAGTAGCATATATTACTGAGTTGACACTGACCTCGTAGCGTCCGCACCATATTGGTCAAAGATAATATGAGGGTCGGGATAATTTCTAAGACTTTTGCTCATCTTCTTGCCATCGGCAGCGAGCACGAGACCGGTGACAATTAAATTCTTCCACGGTGCAGTGCCGAAGAGATGAGTTGAGAGAATGAGCAACGTGTAGAACCAACCCCGAGTCTGATCAATACCCTCTGACACGAAGTCACCCGGGAAGTTCTTGAGAAAAGACTCTTTATTTTCGAATGGGTAGTGCGATGATGCAAATGGCATACTGGAATGGTCCCATTGTTAGTGTGGTTTGCAGGATTGGGGAGCCGAGTTACCTTCCAGATTCGAACCAGCAGTCAAAGACTTCCTCCACACGTCTCAAGACGCCCTTGCCCATTTTCGAAGGAATAGTCAGATGATCAATTTTTTCGCGGTGAATGTCTGTGAGGCCAACAGCACCAGTCAGCTCCTCGAGTTCGGCGATGGAGCCGATGCAGACAACCTGTGCTCTGATCAATTCACACCCATGTTGAAAAATCCTGACACTAACCTCTTCATAGTCATCGCTAACCCACAGAGGTAGTGGTGTACCCCAGTACCTGTTTCTAGATACATTCCAGTCACGTGCATTTGCTAGCCAGTTCCCAAATCGACCATCCTTGACATTTTGGGGCACCCTGATAAACAGAATTGGATCAACATTTGCAGGGAAGCGGACGGCGCACTCACCATAGTGTGTTCAGGTTGTTGGTAACAAGCTGGTCTACGATAGGTTGTACACGGATGAACCACGACGGCACAGCACGATAGATTAAGGGTGTTCCTGATCTGGGGAAGAAGTCAGCGTACCGATCAATGTCCTGTCAAGAGGCCTTACCGCCAGCAGAACGGATAGGAATGCTTGATGGTCGATTGCACAATGAGACGACCTTTCGCCTTCAAGACCTTCATGACTTCTTTATCTGCAACCTTGAAACCAACGGTGAGCACCGCTAAATAGCTCAATCAATGAATAATGACAAACTTTGATGTACATGCCCTCGAAATCGGTAACTGGCTTAGTGAATTTGCCAGCATCATCTAAGGGACAGGGAGCCATCTCTCCAGTATAAAGGATACCATTTTCGATAGCAACGCGAGCGTCATCTTCACCGAATGCCGGGGCTTGCTGTACGATGCCTGTACCGTCCGTCGCCGTAACATATGTATCCACAAGCACGCGAAATGCGCGATCCTTATACTGAAGAATGGTCGGAAACTGCACGAAAAAGGAGGCAATTCACATACTTGTTCTGTGAAATACTCGAAGAGCGGCGTATATCTCCATCCCTTCATTTCGATACCCTTGTAAGATGCTAGCTTCTTGAACTTTGCTTTCTTTGGATCTTTGTAGAGAGTCCCAAGAAGTTGATCACAAAGTATGTAATTTGTGTTGTGTTCTTCATCGTGAATCTTGATGTAAGTGAGCTCGGGATGAACGCACAGTGCTAGATTAGATGGGAGGGTCCATGGGGTAGTCGTCCAGGCTAGAAGCGATGTGCTAGGATCTTCAACTAGCGGGAATGCGATTGTGACTGCAGGATCGTTTACATCCTTGTAGTCTAGCCCTGCTTCAAAGTTCGAAAGTGGGGTGGTACATCCTGTAGAATACGGCATGACACGCTGGCCACGGTACACCATGCCCTTTTTCCAGAGCTCCGAGAACGCCCACCACTCGCTTTCCATGAAAGGCGTATTTAGTGTTTTGTAGTCGTTGTCAAAGTCAATCCATCGACCCATGCGCTCGACGGTGACGCGCCAATCTGAAGCGTAACGCATGACGATGGCACGACATTCTGCATTGTATTTTTCGATTCCCATGGCCATAACGTCACTCTTGCCAGTGATCCCAAGTTTCTTATCGATCTCATGCTCGACGGGGAGACCATGAGTGTCCCAACCAAATCGACGCGTGACATGATGGCCTGTTACATGGGCATGTCGAGTAACTATGTCCTAGATCAAGGAAGCGGGCGTTAACAGATCGGCCAACGATAAAGATCAGATATTACTGGAATCACATACCTTGATGGTACCCGCGAGAAGATGACCATAGTGAGGCAGACCAGTCGCGAAAGGAGGACCGTCGAAGAAGACATATTCTGGTTTGCCTTCTGATAGCTTCAAACTTGTCTGGAAAGCATCTATCTCGCGCCAGTAAGCGATGACCTTCTCCTCCTCCTTTGGAAAGTTGAATGGTTGGGTTACTAGTCCGAGAGACGCTGATAAGCAACATAATGTACGGGCGTAGTCACCAAGCTACGCACTGTCTTGTTTCTGGAATGACATCCTAGTACCTCGACTTCAGCAATGGTGTGATCTGTATGAGTAACCCTGTCGCAGTGAAGGCGATTCTTTTGAAGTGATATCTTGATCTAAAGTGTGACTCGAGTTTCGGATTATGACTCGGATATCAAAACCAAACACTGTGGGTATGTGTGTCACCAAAAAACGTAGATCATGGACTAGCGCTCGCGAAAAACAGCTGAACAGTGTAGATCGATGGATGTAACGATCAATTCAATTCACAGACATCGTTATATCGTACTACAATCTTGTAACCCCTTCGAAAGCAAAATTTTGGATCCCGCGTCGATGACTTTCGGCAAACAGCGACTGAGTCAGAATGGGCCAAGAGTTGTCTCGTCAAAATACGAACTTCGACGCCGGCGAAGCTTGGTGAGTCACTGGATTATCCACCCAAAGTTGTCAAATTTCTGAGTCGTTGCCGCAGTTTCGCGCGCATAACGGACATGGGCGGACAAAAATATTCACTTGATTTCTTGTGACTTTGTCGGTCCCAAATCAACTGACATCAAGGTCCGAGTTGTCATTCACCGGCAACACTCGACACTGATCGTCATGATACTCTTTCTGGAAGTCCAAGGGAAGATGCGAGCTGAAATCGACTGAGGCATACGCAGTGATGCGCTATCCGCTTTCGCAGACCAGGATACTTGGCCGTACATTGAAGAAAAGTTCCTTTACCACTGTTTCTCATTCATTTTCCGAGAGGCCATGTCGCGCAACTGTGTTAACGCTGACCAGTTTGACCCGGGACGGTACCTGCTTCACGACGGCAAGCTCTCGCCAACCGCAAGGATTGCAGGGAGCCCTCTCTTCTGGTTTGGAAGAAGGTTTATCACAGAGAAATTGTTGTGGTAGCCTCCTTGTAGGTCTCAGCAACAATGCGCTTCTTGAAGGCCAAAGACACGAAAATTCGACCCATCGAAATCACCCCAGTGATTACAAATGGTGTTGCATCGCTAGTTTCTTGATTCGATGGAACTCGACTTTGATCTTGAAGTCGTCCAGCATCATCCCTGCGTTTCATGAGCAGGGTCCATTTTGTCGCCGGTGCACTATTTATGCATGCTGTGAGTAGTCGTGCATCGATGTATTTCATTTTTGATCAAAACAGACCGAATTTGCAAAAATCTATGACTTTGAGTCCAATCGATATCGACGATCTCTCAAATTTCAAACCCGATTCCTTTTCCTTGTTTTCCGATCCGATATTTGAATCGTTCTTGATTAAATTTAGATTCTTAAGCCCATACAGCTGGACGTTGAAGCTTAAGGCCCTTGTCAGATGTTAGCAATGAATCACATCACGGAATGGGCTCATCAAGCATCAATACTTCACAACGCCCGTGTCTTTCAAATAACGGTTCATGTCGATCTGGCGGATGAATTTATCTATTCGCGTCTGCTGAAGAAACATCATTTCTAAACTTTGGCGACGAGCACGTTTAGGGCGATAAATCGCCAGTAACTCCTTATGGTCTGATTGTTCCAATGTTTGACTGTTCTTGACTTCGCAAGGTCAACCATAGATATCCGTGCAATGAGTATACGGAATTACTTTGTGAAGCCAACTTTCATTGGATACGAAGCGTACGCCGATTCTTGATGTCGTTATCCAGTTGCCGTATCACATTCGGTTCGCTCGGGGTGGTTTCGGGCAGGTTTTCTGCGCTGGTGTAGTGGAGGCCTATAAGAATGTGATACTTCAGTGATGGGCGAGCGGAAAGAAACGTATACGATACACATATGGTGATCCTTATAGTAAATAATACAGATGCGAATTAATAAAGATAGTATAACAAGACAACTGTCCTCAGGACCCTCGTTTTGCATATTCTGGACATTGCTCTTTCATGAATTTCTCAAGCTTTACTGCGTTCCTATGGTATATCGATGTTTCGGGGTTGTACAGCTTGCAATTATCGACCACCAGTTGAACATCGTCAAGAAAGAATTTCAGTGAGGAGTACTGATTCGTGTCCAATTTGTGTTCCATCGTGCTGAAATCTGATGGAGATGTCAATGCAAAATATATGACAGAGGATTTGATACAGACCCATAGGTCTCTTGATAACACCGTAGTAATCTGGGACCTCATCGGCATTGACTGGGTTTAAGAAAGCCCAGGCTAGGGGATGGGCTTTAAGATCGGACAGGAACCGCTGCATTTGTGTGTGCTCGGCACTTTTCCCGGAACGTGTGCTGCAAGAAATTACATACAACCCACTCAGACCGCAAAAGGCAACCTACCTGTGTTCCATGCCGGGCGTCCAACCGCTCTCTCCTACAACAAATTGGAGGTGCCAACTCACTTAAAGAAACGATGACGTACTTAGCCCTGGGACCTCCTTAGGATCCACTGTGATTCCTTCCAGACCACCTTCTTGGAATTGTGAAAGACCCTGATATACGATGTGCGACTTCGACATCTCGCGGATCTTGGTGAGGATTGCCTCTCGTTGCTGAGAGATGATGTTGACTTTATCAAGATAATTGACCTTGCGCAACATGGTGCATTGCATGATCGTCCCGCCTTCGTAGTCCTTGATGTACCCTGCCCACACAGAGCGATCAAGTGTGATCTCTTTCGAAAAGCCTTGCTTCTTGAAGAATACTACTGCAAAATTGTCGGCGTAGGTGAGGAAGTGCATCACTTCGGGGTATGTACGTTTGATGTGTTGTTTGAAGTTGTCCATGAGCATGCCACCGTAGCCCTGTCATAGAAGCTGCAGTCGCATACATGATGGACGAGGCCTTTGCCTACCTTCACTTGGTCCACGGATGCAGTAGCAAAGAAGACGATCTCCGCAAAGCCACGGTGTGGAAAAGGCCTATAGCAAATACCACCTACGACCTTATAACCACGTTTTATGATCGCGAGTGATTTCGAGTTGTGGTCATAGACTAGACGCGCAATGTACTCGCGCGGCATCATAGGCAACTGTGTTTGGAACAAGGTCTTTAGACCAGTGAGAATCACTGTAGAGCGCGGCTGTCGGTCGTTCTCCACTGCAGTTATCTCAATAACTCCCTTGCGCAGCTCCACAAAAGCAGCTTTTTCTGGCTTGTGAGTAGGCTTGACAGAATAAGCGTCAGTTAAGCGAGAAATAGTAATAAAACTTACTACAGCAGATGATGCTGGCCCCGTGTCTACCGTAACTCCAGTCGCAAGGCGTGTGAGTTGACCCTCATCCATCTTATCTTCGACCTTTACTTTAAGATCCGAGCTGCGACCATTGGCAACGCCATTCTTCTCTGACCTTTTGTCTCCCGTGGGAGCGGTCTGCGCTTTTGACTTCATACTGGAGGTCTTCTTCCCGCTTCTGTGCGTCACAGTCTTTCTAGAAGTCGTTCCTGTGGCCGCAGCATTTGAATCTGCAACTTGGGCGGCTAAAGGCTTATCGTCGTCGTCATCATCGTCATCTTCATCGCTGAGTGAAGAGGAGGACAGTCGTCTACGTTTTGAAGGTGGAGGCTCGTCACTGAGTACGGAAGAATCCGGGGACATTGGTCGATCAACCGGGGAAGATTGTGCTGAAAATTTTGAGGAGGTCGCAGGGAGGATCGATGTAAATGACGTACGGATGGAAGGAGACGATACGCTAACCATAGAGATGGACGTCTTCATTTGTTGCCTGAGGGAGTCGATGTCTTCATCTGTATAGTTAAAATCAAGCTGCCTGTCTGCTTCCTGACACGGTGCGCGTGCTGTGACTCAGCGTGCATATAATGACGTGAGAGAAGACGTACTTGAAGAAGTTCATCAATACGAATTGCAAGACGCGCTCTACGAGCAAATTCCTCCCGTCCCAAGGCGGCTAGTTGACTACCGTGGTCTGCTACATCGTGGCCACATATACATGTTTCGAGGTATGCGGGGCCATCCTCTTCGTCGGAGCCGTATTGTGTTAGGTCGCCAAGTAGAGACTTTTGGTGGATATCATCATCTAGAACCACCTCGACGCTTGCTGGGGGTCGCAGACCAGGACAAGAATCACAGGCGGTACAGAAAGAGTGCCGGGCTATCCTGAGTGCAAGTGCAAGGTCATTGTGATTAGCTTCGGATAAACAAGGATAAGACAGTCTCATGGGAGCAAAAGCTAGAATTACTATGTGGGGTTGCGTGCGAGCCAATGTATGAAAAGTATGAAGTAGTCATTTCCAAAAGCGGTGTGCCCCTGAAGCTATACGTGCAATTCGAGAAAAAGTATCAGGCATTATCAAGGCTATCGAGCTTTAAAAACTTATATTTTAATCCGCCATGTTAATGAACACACTAGACGAGGGCTGCCATGTCGCGCCGTGTCCATGTCAATGATGGACTCACTGCGTCCACACGATATCCACATCCACTCGATGCGCAAGATATAATCTTATGATGAGTCCTTGCAGCAGCGACCTGTCGCGTGGTTCTCGTGTTGGACGATCGATAATCTACTACTAGTACATATTGATATATAGTACAAGAATTCTAACACGGGCCGTGCAGCAATTTGAACGACTCGTAGTAAGTATCTCTACAGTAACATTGAACACATACTGCGTCAGGGGTTCCGGCCATCAATCAAAAGTGTCTTAACTGTTATTATAAAAGCTCAAATCTGTATCCTGCAAATCGCAGGTCCCCAAATTCTCTAATAATTTGAACACAAGTCTTCCACCACCTCTCCGGCCCTAATCCCCACCACACTCAATAGCGTCTCTGTTATCCCATGCGTTTCCTCTGCACAACCTTGCAAGTAGATCTTTGGAATAAGTCCATGACTAGCCGTCGGTAGTGGAAGAAGTCTATGACTTCGCGAGATAAAGATTGTATCTGTCATACTGGTGAGAAAAATGCTCAGTTACTCAGAAATTAGATAGCGCACCAGAATCCTTGGTCTCCGTAGATGTATATTGTGCATGTGTCTTCTCTCCGTTGATGCCCGTGACCGATGTCCGTGAATGACCGTTTATTCCGTTCGTGGCCGCTTTAAACGCGCCATTCTTCCCGTTTATGATCGCTCTAAAGTCGCGCTCCACAGAGAGGCGCGTGTTATCTGAAGTAGCGCACAGACCGAAATGCTTGCCTAAGCTGGATGATTTCAAGAGGCTCAGCCACGAATTTCGCTCGTAGCCAGTAGCGCAAACAATGGCATCATATGTCGCCTCGGAGAAATCTTGTGTGAGGGTATTCTGCAGAAGAACCGAGAATGTAGGTGTTTCTGTTTCTGTGGAGGTTTGCGAAGGATGCGTGCTAATCTCCGCTGACGCCAGGTTACTATAAGTTACGATAGTGATATGTGCATCGGTCGCAGCCAGTGCGTTTTTCTTGCGTCTAGCGATGTCACCGTCTACACGTTGGTCGTATAGGACGTTGAAGAGCTGTTGTCGCATCCTTGAATCACAATAAATTAGCAAAAGACATGCAACTCACTGAATCAAGTGTAATCGGATTTACTACCCCGTAATTTGTGCCCTCGTAGTCCGCCATCACTCTTCTTCGAGAATCACTCGGCAGGTTATACATAACATCCACAAATTCTGGATTGTATACCTGGTTCGAAAAGGGGCCGCCATCGCTCGATTTCAATGAGCCACCACGAATGATGAGGTGGAGGTCATGTGCTTGGCCGGTACTCTTGCCCATGCTAGTTAGCCGCGACTGAAGGTCGAGCAGTACTTCCACTGCGGACTGCCCCGCACCGACGACCGCGATTTTAAGTGGCCGAGTGATGGTCTTCATCGTGTCCAACATCGATTCTACAGAAGACACGTACGCAGAGCTGTGAATGATGCGAGGATGAGGTGAGATGCTCTGAATACACCGCGGGACCCGTGGTGAGCCTCCTGGCGAGATGATTAGATTTTCTGAACAATCCTCAGTCAATTCCTGCATGGCAACATTGCAATGAATCGATGCTGACTTGCACGACGAACGATAGTTTCTCCAGTGGTAAGCACGATGCTATGGACCAGCACGGTGCCTTCACCCCCTTCTTCAATTGCAATGACATTTTCGCCATACGCAACCTTGATGCCTTGACCTTGCACGTACCGCGCTACATGGGCAAGGTAATCGGAGTATTCCTTCCGAGTCGGGGTCATGCAATTCCGGTTGATGAACTCCACTAGACGGTTTTGGGAGTGCAAGTATGCAACGAAGGTGATTGGAGATTGTGGCGATCTCAAGGTCGCCAAATCTTTCAGGAAACTTGTGTTTCTTCCTCAGTTCCAAGATGCGATCGACATGAAATTGTACTTGCCTGATCTGCATACGGGTACCTGGGAGAAGCATACCCGGATGCCATTTGAATTCATGATGTCGCTCAATAAAGAGAGATTTGTATACAGATATCGGGCAGGTCTAGGATGCCGATGAATTCCAGATATGGTACTGGTACATCGGATTGACATACCTCTCTTGGTTGTTCTAGTAGCGCACCAGCAGCAGCAAGATTTGCTGGGCCAAATCCAAGGCCGATGACATCGTACACGTCCGCTGGTTGTGCTTCGGATGATACCATGGTAGAGAATGCTGATCTGAGAGTTTATGAAAAGTACTGAGCACCGTGAACCACGTCGGAAACTTGTAGATGATCAATATGTGAACGAGTGCAGTCGATATCGGATGGAGATCGGGAATCGTTGTATGGGGTATCATGGTTTTATAGCATCTATAATCCGAATTGCGACGGCACCCGCTCGAAACCTAGCTATGATATTGGTGTATCATGATAAGTCAAACTAAAAGCATCAATGCTAGTTTGTAATGCTTCCGGAACAAAGACATGACCGTGACAGTCAGCCAATGAAATTTGATTAGTTTCACAAAGTCTAGCTACGTCTATCTGACTCTATCATGCAATACTAGTTTATGTATCAATATTTGCCTCCGGAACAACACCATAGTCAGCCAATGAGACGTCTAGGTACCGGCGGCCCTGTTCGGCTCAACGTTGTCGGAGTTTTATTTACCTCAGGGGGGAGAGAAGGACATAAGTAGCTGGCACAGACATTGACAGATGGGAGAGGGGTGAGATGGGAGACCAAACTATCGGTCACGCCTGGATGGGTAACTCTAGCGGGGACTGCGTAGTCATTCACTCTAAAGTCTCTACCAAAAACAAGAGTTTCAATGGCTGCAATGAGGATAGTAGCCTTCTGCGAGGTTTGTAAGGTCATGATAGACCCGCACATGTTGTATGCACATACATGATAACGGCCTCTCATTTGGTAGACTGTATCAAACATTCAACAGGTAGACGGTAGACGTCAACGGATAGTGCGGAATTCGGTCGCCAAGCATAAGCACTTCTGAATCATCATAAATAGTAGACCCAAGACGCCGAAAGGTTGTACACCAATAGGAAATACGCCATTTGATGTCATTGGAGCGGTTATCCACATCCGTATCTGTCACCGTACGAGGCATGATTGATTGATCCACTATTGCGACATCCTAGTCATCAAATTCTAGAATAAGTCCTTGGTCGTCGGGCTCCCAAACATTGATTCAGCACGATCATAAACATTGCCTAGCAAAAACAAACCCACTTCAATTGACCAGGACTTTCTTTGCTACTTCTACAAAATGCGTGCGAACCCGGTGGTTTAATTTCGGGCTGGCGGAATGTTGTTGAATCTCGTGCCCAACTTGAGCGCTTGAGCTTGAAGCCAATTTCCCCTTTGCATCGCAAGCAGAAAATCGGATCTAAGCAAGGAGAGTTGATCTCAGCACTAGCCAGTCGAGTCGACACTATACTCGCAGCCAGGGTTCGCCAGAGTATATCCATTTACAATTTGACGCTGACTTCTGATAGAATCGACGTTGTGAGCAACGAGGAGCGCGAGCGCATATGTTGCCATCCGTCCTGAAGTGTAAACCACCCTTTAACTGATTATCTGTTTTGAATGTACTCACAAGATACTAAGCCATGGTTGAAGTTTGACGACCGTTAGTGAAGAATTGGCAATTGGACTGCTGGCTGACTCCACGTATGGATGTTAGTGTTCGACAACCATTGGTCACCGGAGTTTCATTGACCATAGCCGACACAATGTTGATTCTATTCCTATTTACCTCCAAGAAGTAATAGTGCCAGTGCATACCGAGTTTTTTTAGGTGTCCTTGCTCCAATCAGGCGGATGCGTTTCCAAGGTGAGTGAGTGGTTTGGGAGTTTTTGCATCGAATGGCATCTCTAACGGGAATCTTCCAGATCATGCAGGACTATAAAAGACGGTTTATCAGTCTGCTACCGACTCCGCGCAGGTCTGTTAGGGAGCTGGTAACTTGCTTTATCGCAAAAGAGAGATGAAAAGGCTCACTCTCGGACTTTCAGAGACATGCATGAAGCATGGGCTACCATAGATCGGAAAACCGTCACGAGATGATATCACCCTCATCAGTACTCGCAGCATTGATTCATAGTGGTTGAAACGATAAAGTTAAGCGGTCGTGGCTTCAGTCAGTGTGCCTGGACTTAAGGCTAAGCGTCGATCGCGTCATACTAGTTGGTGCTTGCGGGACCGTTTTTGTCGCGCGAGAGTTACGTTAATTCCCGACTCTCACGAAGTGTGGAGTAAGCGAGAATGCCGACGCTCTGTGTAACCGCGAGAAGATATTACCGTACCGTCATTTCTGCCGACAACTCCCTTACTTGACCCCTTTCGCAACATGGCGTGTTTTGCAAGCAATATCGCTGCATCGTATTATTTTAAGGATCATCCTATCGTGTTCGCTATAGCCCTTGCATGGTTACAGTTGGCCTCATCGACCACGTCAAGTCATCTTCAAGTTCGAAGTGCCACGATATGGCTCAGGTGATCACCTGGACTCAGGCAGTGACATTTGACGGTGCGAATATCAACCATTGTGTCAGTGGGACGTGGATGCCTTTTGCTCGATCTCACTTCAAGGGTGCTTGTTACGTCCATTACAGGGTGCCGCATCCAACGTTTTGGTATGCCTGGGACAGATCAACACTTAGTTCCACGCGCTCGCTTTGGCTCTGACTCGGAGACAGTGGCATCTGTGTTCCAGCGCTTTGCCCATCAGCCTACTAGTAGTGTGGTTCTTTCCGACATGCATTCACCTCTTGTAACCACATTAAATGCTGATCCTGTCTGGTTTGCTTGTATGCCTTCGTGCCATGTGGATAACCTAAGTATGATGTTGGCTCTTGGCGCTGCTGCTAAGTGCCTCGGCTGCCTCCAATCCTCGGCACGCGTCGAGAAAGAGATGGAGGTGACAGCTGACATTACAGTGCGGCTAAATAGGGAACATGGAATGGGCCGAGCAAACGTGAGATACTACTTGTAACCTCGATGGCTTGGGAATACAAAGCGTTGGGCGACTCTTACCGGGAAATGCCAGCCGGACACCAGAAATGAGTAGCGACGCATAGATCGTCGAGTACATGCATCCGGGGAAATGAATAATTGACCGATCGAGGGAGTCGGTGACTTGCGGCTCGCTGCGGCTGCGATACCCAATTGCACATTAATTGTACATACTCGTAAAACCAGTTCGCAAAACCGGTAGACCATATGCATGAACAGTAAGCAGGGACCCTGTCGAAGAAGTTCGCTCTAGTGTAAAAATTAAAATGAATAGTCACTTGTGCCGTTAAATAACAGGGCTCCGGCCTAATTGCATTTCATTTAATTATTTTCAATATGTTCCGAGCCGAGGGAGCTCGAGCACTTGTGCGGGTCCGACTCGGCGATGCACTGCGAGGTCTCACGTCGGCAATTCGGTTTGGATAAGTTCGCCTCGTACTAGACACCAGTCTAAGAGCTGGGCAGGGCGGCGAATACCTTTCCCAGGGCACATGTCTTGGCGGGATAGTAAAACGATGTCAAAAATTTCAACAGTTGCTTAGGACAACCATACGTAGTACGTACGTACTGGAAAAATGCTCATAGCTGTAGTCATAGCACAAAAACAATGTGCTGGGAACAATGTGTGGCACTTCGAAAGCTGTGGTCGTAACCCAACGACGATGTATAACCGCTTGCAAGTGGAAGAGACGTCGGAACCAAAATTTGATAATGCGCGTCAAGAAAGGAGATGAAATTTTTGAGGTGGCATCCGATTTTAAGGCAGGAGACGGTGAACGAGAGAATGGCGCTAGCTATAGGCGGATCATCTCATATGAAGACATTTAATTTCCGCGACTTGTTCCGCGAATTTGGTTGACCACAGCCAAACTACAACTAAAAACTGCATAAATGTCAACTGCCAGTGCATATGGAGTCCAAGAGCTCGAACCTATTTTCAGGCGAGTTTCATTCAATTTCTGAAGACCCGCGAAACAAACAGGCTGCGCTATTCACTGGTAGCTGGACAACTATTTAGGCTCCGGATAATTGTCATGGGAAGTGACGAAATAATAACCGCAACGGTTGGTAGCCTCGTGTATACGACGACAGAGTAGCAACTTGACAAGGGACAAATAGAAAAAAGATTCCACGGATGCAAATACACGATCACATGACATTGTTGAGTGTGGAACAAAGCGGTATTCTCACGGTCGAGAAAGCGGCCCATAAACGCACTGCTGTAAATTAACTGTCATTGATTTCTTCTCAAACCTTTGTTCCTCCCCAACGTTGATTACAGTGACGACGCCAACAGCAGCGACGAAGACGACGAAAACCACACAACAGCGACGATGACGGCGCTCGTCTCGACGTCTGTCCCACAGTACATAGCTTCTGTACAAAAATCCAGAAATAGAGCACGCGACCAGAGCGTCTCTCCAATATCCCCAGGATGTTGCACAACCCATTATCAAACTCCCCCAAAGCTCAAGGTGTCATCTGAGCACCTGTCACCAATGTTGACACCTTCTCCTCTTAGACGACGACCACTGTTTCCAACAGATGCCCAACATAAAGCAGATAGACTGGCTCAGGAGCAGGACCACGATGACAGCGATATCTTCTTACAATCTCCATTCAAATCACCCCCTCTAGTGCACCGTCTATACCCCATCTCACATCCTAAACCAATCAAACCAATCATGTTAGATGACGATGAAGCGACCCTTTTTCTCTCTTCTTCATCCGCTGTATCTTCCCCTTTCTTTCACCACGCGTCCACTCAGCCACTACTCACGCCAGTCAAGGATTCCCATCGTGCTATACTAGCTGCAAAGCAACTCAATTCGCAGCCTGCACATCGTGTGGGCGTAGGTACCAAGCGCAAATCGGCGCAATCCGGCGGTGGCGACTTCTCTACGCCTTTGCGTCCCGTCTCATCAGCCACGTGCACCCCTCTTAATATCTCTGCTCCGAAACCCGACCCTTCATCTGGTATCGCCTTCCACCGTCTTGCACCTCTGCCAGCACCTCGCTTTACCCCCCAGCCAAAGAGTAAAGCTGATACCGACGCATTTCTCAAGAAACAGGCAGAAACAATGAAGCGGCTGCGCATTCGAGATCTTGATGACTCAGATGAGGACTGGGGTATCATAGATCAGGATTCCGACGGAGAACCTGTACAAAGGCTACCTGCGCTTCGCAAATGCAAATCCCGGTCTATTAGCCCGAAAAAATCTCTCCTTATCAACGCTGCGCTAGTGCCACAGAAAGGTAGCTCAAAGGATGAGGTAACTGAAGCTATCTCTCCAGGAGGGCATATTATCAAGCGTCGGGCACGTTCGAGGCCCGTTTCCATTGAACTCCTCGAGAGTGTGAACCACTCACCGTCACCCAAGGTTAGAAGCTACACCGATATCGGCATTTATATATATTCCATTGTGCTGACAAAACCTTACTCTAGGCTGAATGTTCCAATACGAAGCCACCCACTGTGCCGATAACATTTCCTTCTGTGTCTCGCGATCGCAATCGGCCCACTTCCTTTGTTGGTTCGCCCTCCCCTGTACCACGAAGACGACTCACAGGGTCCAGCGGCCCTAATCCCTTCCTTTCTCAGCCACCCTCCCGTCTCAATTTGCATTCTCAGCCCCGCCCCCGCGCTTTCGCCCGAATGGCATCCAATAGTTCGGCTACTCACTTCTTCGGGCCCTCAATCCCTCAATCCGTGCAGTGCTCACGCAAGCGAACTAATTCTTCCGTCGACGCTACTCTGGATCTGTGCATGCAGTCCCATCTCAGTCCGTCGAATCGACATAGCTATGCCGGTCCAGACTCGGCTGGTGTCTCCGTTGCCCCAATGCCATGGACGCTGCGGTCGGGTTTGGACACACCCTCGCCAAACTCTTCGCCTCTGAATGACGGTCCAGGCACGGTCTACTCAGATGACGAGGACATGTTATTTGAAGGCCCAACTGAATCCTCGTTTGTGTTTAGCATCACAGAAGGAACCCCTTCTCCACGATCACAGAAAGGCAAGGAAGGATTGCTACCCTCCAAGTATAAGCCACGCGACTCTGGCATCGTCCTTAGCGACGACGAGTCGATTCCCGCGCGAAATTCGGCGTTAAGCAGGAGTTCGAGCTCTATTTACTCTGATAATGATAACGGCGATGATCTGGTTACACCTGGAGTCGTGCCTGGTGCACTTTCCGGTTGGCCAAGGATCTCGGGTGTTGACGACGCGCATCTTCATTCATTCAATCAATCCCATCCATATCAATATTTTAATCATGACGAAGACGACGTCGACGCATTCATCTTACGTACCTTAGAGGCTGGTGGGAAGCCTTCTGCTTCCGAGGGGAAGAAACCACCCGGAACGCCTGTGAAGAAGCTCAAGAGCCACTTTGGGCTCGATGGTGGGCGACCATGGCAGAGTGCTGTTGCATCGAAGATTGGGTTTTCGTTTGATGGCGTGGAGGGGGGGAAGGGGAATACGAAGAAGCCACGGAAGAGTTTGCCTGCTGCATTTCCTCTCCCGCTTCTGAAAGGTAACACTATGACGACCAAGACTGGTGGATCGGATACCGAAGAGGACGATGAAACT